AGCTGAGCTTTTTTTTTCCATTAGTATTTTATTCAATATAGACCTAAAGTAGAATAGACACAACATGTGTACTTTATATTCAGCTTTTTAATACTATTTTATTAACAATTGAAATAAAATTAAAATTACTTATTCAAATCACTTGATATTTTGAAAGAATAAAAAACAGGAAATCAATTTTGCCCATTTTGCTGTAAGAGAAACAATTATTAAATTTAAAAAAAAAATCTGTTAAAAAATCAATTTGAAGATCCAGTGCAGAAACAAAATTTAAGTCAAACCTGGTACAGCGCTAAAGTCCTAACATTTATATTCAAATATATTTATTTAAAAACATATATAGTGTTCATTTTTGACTTATAAATTGTTTAGCTTTCTTTATAGTGTGAATGTAAATATATTTCTTCTATAATTTATGTATTTTTCTTCTAAATGGAGCTTTAGGATACAAATAATGCGATATTATATGAATGCATGTTAGGATGTTCCATATTGTTCTATTTTAATTTAATTTTCTTAATTTTTATTTAAGTATAATTCTCTCATTTTTTTCATAAATACACAATTGTTAATTAGTTATACATCGTGTTTCCAGCAAAAATATTTTCAACACTTGATCAAATTCACGATCAAATTATTCCCGAACGCATCAATTCCTCTTAACGTTGAGCTAACCATGAGAGGTTTTAAATTTTTCCTCTCCACGTAACGCAAATGAGGGTAATTTTCCTCAGAAAAGTCTTTTTCGATATTAATCTTTTACCCTATGCTTAAAACAGGTCTTCTGGGTTGGGTTCAAAATGAAAGACTAAGGAACTTTGATGGAACCGCAAAATTGGTATGTATTGGCTGTTTAAATGCTTTTTATAAAATAAAATAAAAATAAACTATCAACGAGGAATGAATTCAAATTGTTGTGAAATTCTAATTATAAAAAGAGATAGATAAAAACATTTTCCACAAAAATAATAATTTTTTTGAAAAATTAATGATTATTCAAAGTTTATGTATCATCTATGTTGGGGCCTGAAAGTTGAATAATGTCACTTATTTCTGGACAACATTCTCATGGCTGCTTTAATGAATGTCCAAAAATTCTCGAAATGTCACATTTCTCAAGTAAATATCGACATTCACTATATCTCTGGTGGATGTCAGAAATGTAATTATTATTTAGACGAAATTCAGTTATAAATATCATTTTCTCGCTCCTAAACCAGAAAATGTAGACTTTCAACAGTGAATATATATAATTAAACTTGATTTTCCTCTTCCAATCAAGAACTTTCATCAGCGCAATCTGAATATCGATGTAAGTAAGAAATAATGATGCAGCGCAAAAACATTCACCGTCAGTGCATGTTGAATATCAACATTTACTGAGAATATTGAGAAATAATAAAAAAACATTAAAGAATATGAAAACAACTTTTTAGACTACATTTTCCTAATGAAGAGTAACGAGGTTAGATGGGAATTAGAATTTCCACCTGTTAGTATCTATCAGAAATGTAGACCAATCAGCTACTCGATGACGCAATTCATCTTTTTGAACCGGATTCTGCATTTATTTTACACATCACGATTTTTTTTATTTTCAAAGCACACACGGGAGGGCATTCTGAAGAGGGGGGGGGGAGATAAAAAAAAAGCGTGTAGTTTTATATTTCCGGATAGGACATTTCCGCCAATAGATGTGTTGCAAAATTCTACCCAGGTTTGAGGAAAAAGTATTAAGGATTTAAATAAGTTGGACATCCTTTTTTGATGCGTACAAATGTGGGGCAAAATGAACGGTCAGCACAGGCCACGGGGCGACTAAATAAAACAAATGACTATTAAATATAATCTGCCAGTCGCCAAGCGATGACTATTTTTTTTTAAATGCATATCATGAGCACTTTATTAATATTAATATCCCATATATATAAAATTATAATATCTTAATTTATTAAAATCTTAATATAATAATAATTTATTAATATCATCATAAATATGGGGCTATTATGAATATTTTATAGTATTTTAAAAATTACTTAATTTTACGTTTGTTTCTTTTTTTTTCTATTTTTCTTCATTTTAGAAATGTACTTCGAAAAATAAAAATAAAAAAAACGAACCACACTGAATAACTTTAGATCTTATGATCGGATCTTCGTGTTTAAGGACTGAATCTAAATAACTCGAGGGCGTAACTTCAGATATACTAATTAATAGGTGCAGCCAATATTTTAAGTTACGAAATCAATTTCTCTGAATAAACATACCTTTTTTTCGTAAGATTCAGATTTCTGACCCCCAAAATAAAAGGGGTAGCGGCAATGTTCGGTCATGAGGACTACAAAGTTTGGACTTTGTAATATTAATTTTTACTTTTTGCGTATTTCGCTACAGCTCGAAAAATTTTTAAGCGAATGGAAAAAAATTTTGCTTACACTTATAAAATTCGTTTATCCAAAGATTTGTTCATGCAAAAAATAGCTTTTTTATTATTTTATTTTATAAAAATCGAAAAAATCTTAAATTGTAAGATATAAAATTTTTTGCATCATTTTAAAGAATATCATTTTACATGATAAAATACGAAATTTGAGCAAAATCGGTTAAAAAGTTGCTGAGAAATTTAATTTCGAAAAAGTCAATCTTTAAATATTTACCATATTTTTAAAATTGTTTCGAAAGAGATGCAAAACATTATTAATATCACAAGTTTTTGTACTCGTTTCGAATTTTCAATTTTTGAAAAAACCACCACTGCTACAAATGCTATAACTTCTGCTTTCTTTTGCTTTCTAGTGTATACACTATGATTTAGTGATATACAAACTATTTGAAGCAATGAAAAAGATGCTATATTATATCTATTACTTTGCTAAAATAAATTTTGATAATATCACGATAATTCGGAATTTTATATCAAAAATAATATCGCGATAAATTCTACTTTTAGTGCTCAGAAAACAATGACAACTTGCATTGTCGTAGTTGTAGTTCATTCATGTCGCACTAGAGCAGCCCAAATGGGCTATTGGTGAAGGTTTTGGAAACATCCCAGAGAATAGTCCGAAGACATGCCATCACAATTTTGATCCTCAGCAAAGGGGATAACACCCCCGCTTCAGTAGCCCGACGACCTGCACGCGAAGAAGTCGAGCACTTTTACGGTAGAATAGTTTAACGAGGACCCATACCGCACACCCTTGGTCCCTACGCAGGCAAATCCAAGCGGTCACCCACCTGCACACTGACCGCAAACAGTGATGCTTGACTTCAGTGATCTGCTGGGAACAGTGTCTTAACGTTCAGTTCACTGCGGGACCAACTGGCATAGTCATTGGTCTGTTAGCTCAAGTTGAGTGCTAGTCGAATGCTAGCAAATTTCCATCGTCAAAAACAAGAAAGCGAATATAGCAAAAACTTACGAAAAAGAATTTTTTTTTCAAAAAGTGGATTGCAAAGCCTTTTAACTGGAATTTTCTTTCAAAAAATTGAGACATTAAACTAATGAAAATGGAATCGATAATACGTTTATTCTCATACTAAGAAAAAAAAATCTTAAAACGATGAAACGCATTATGCAGATGTATACAGATTTTCTCTTAAAAAATGCAGTTATTAGATGAGTAGGACAAATTAAATAGTACGATCGAAAGCAAACCAATATTTATTTACAATTACTAATCGTTGGTATCGGTACCAAAGTAGAAGAATCTGCTAATTTGGCGATTTTCATTTCAGCGCCATTTTTTATTGTTATTAACATTCTGTTAACTGAGCAAAACACATAAATGTCACACCTAAGAAATCTAAAATTAGGTAGCATTTTAGGAGGAATTTTTGTCCATAAACGGGCTCTTCATTTTAGCGTTAAAACAAAGCTTTCACAAAATATTAAAACTGCATTGGCGATTTCACGTATTTGTAAATAATCTCTTAATTGACGAAAAACACTAAACGGGGTTTTTCTTATACACATTTTCACGATTAGACTTTCAAATTTCGGCAATAGTTCATATTTGTATGTTCAATTTTGGCGTCATATTTCCTGTCACTTTCTTTCATTGAGAAGTACCAACAGTGCCTGATATAAAATAAAGCCTGTTGAGCCCCCGAGTTTCTTTCAAATTTAACAAATAATGTTTTAGTTTTGCCCAAAGAAATGTCAATTTCATTTATGACCTAAGAAAAACTGAAATAAATAAGAATTTAAAATTATTTCATAACACAATGCCATCATCTTATGGATCATACAAAAGTATTTTGAACAAAAATTAAATTAATTAAATGACAGTCATTTAGTCATTCAAGTCATTTTAATTTCAAGTCATTTTAATTTGCCAAATTACAAAATTTGAACGTAACCGATCAAATAGTTTTCAAGAAATCAAATTTTAAATAAACTACATTTTTAAAATTCGGTAACTCAAACTATTCCCCTGGTTTTGCTTAAATTTTGTTATGTGTCAAATAAATTTACATTCTTTACAAGGATAAAAAAAAATTGTATACCTTACAAAACCGATTTGTCTTCGACTATCATTAAATAAATCATTAAGAAATAAATCATTATTAAAAAAATAAATGATTTTAAAAAAAAAATTGTGCATGGAATTAACTTTGGATAAATGAATTTTATAATAGTGTTTGGTTCGCTTAAAAATGTCTCGAGATATGGCGAAATGCGCAAAAAGTAATCTTAACATTAAGGGGTCTATTTTGAACAAATAATGGGGAAACTATTTTCCAGATTGCAGCTATATTTTGAAGATCCGTCAAAATAAAGTATGCTTATTAATAGAAAACATTTTTTTGTTTACGATTTCGTAGCTTAAATTATATTTGAGGTCAGGCATTCGAGCCATTAGGTGAAAAATCTGACTTTGAGTTCTAAAGTTATTTTGCACGCTAGACATTTTGTCGACCTGTAAGATCTGAGCCATACGCTTGTGTATAGATATGAAATGAAATTGTTTATATCTCATATATAGAGGGAGACTTACCTGGTTTGACCACTTGGATCTTGGTACGAACTCCTATAAAATCCGGAAAGTTGATCATTAAGAGTTCCCACAAAGTCCATTCGCACTTCATACGTCTGTCCGGCACTCAATTGACCCTTCAGGTACAATATAAAAAACTGTTTTTCTTTATCCTCTCCGAGTGAACTGATGGTCGGTGCCCCATGACCGGACAATTCAACTGTGTCCTGCTTGACTGTGATATTGTTGATGTGAACAGTCACATTGTTTGTCGGTTCAAGTACCTTAATTCGAATCTCAACTTTTCCGTCGAAAGAAAAATTCCCCGGTTCAATGTAGGGCTGCAGTACCACATTGTAGTGTTCTGGTATAATGCTTCTAGGTAATCGCACATACGGTAACTCTTTACGAGCTTCGGGATTTATTAAGTCGGAAACACCGGACCTCGAACCACAGGGAGCCAAGTATCCCACAATCAGCCCCACAGCAAGCACGCACAGCGCAGCAAAGCCCAGTCCCGCTACAATCCCCCAGCGTGGAACGAAATAACCCTTCCTCTCTTTGAAACTCAAATTATTCGGTGTCTTACCGCTCGAATCCATACTTGCGATGTTTTCGGTGCTGTTTTAGCACCTGTTCTAATACGGCGGCCTTTCTTGTTTTCACGTTTTACTACTAGCCCCGCCTCTTATTCTGACGTCACTCACTTGATCAGAGACTGGAGGGCCAATGAAAGAAATGAGTTTGTTCTGTCTCTTGGCGTCGTCTACGACATCTCTTCATCTATTTTATTTTTCGCTTTCTCTTTCGCTCTAATTGACTCTCTTCGGGTGAATTAATGTGGGGAAAGTGTTATAACATTCCGCGCTCTCAACTTTTTTCTTTATTCATCGTCGCGTAATGAATTGACTCTATATCGTATGGTTGGATTCGCGCGAAATTAATTTAAGGTCGTGATTTAATTTTTGTGCAGGATCCCGTTTATAGATTGCCATTTTTTTTCCCCGTTAAAATATTCCAAGACTTAATGCTCTATTTTTTACTGGTGTTTTTCTTGATTCTGTATTTGTGCGAAAAAGATTTGAAAGCTTATAATTATTTTCTTAATAAATTTGCAGCGTAAAATTATTTGAACAATAATACATTTATTTTTTAACATTTTAAAAGCGGAAATAGATTTTTAGCAAAAATCTTGCTGTTTAGACTCTCCGCCTGATAATTTAAAAAGAAAGAAAAAAAACGCAATTCTTAATTTATAATAATGAAACATCTATTGAAAGAATTCGATTTGAATCTAAGTATTAAAGCAAAATCACTCCTTCAAAATATTTGGAACATTTTTTTTTTCTACAATTATTGAAGAGAAAAGTATTATTTGATTTCCTTAGTTATCTAAATAATTTGATATTATACAAAGTATTATCATTTATAAATTTGACAGGGTTAAGAGAGATATGGCAAAAAAATTTTTTCACAAAATAATAATATTTCTCAAATATTATTATTTAAAGTAATTATCATAAAATGTTATTATAAATTTTTGTCCTTCGCCGTTTTCACCATTAATTTTCATTGCGCCATCAGACTACTTGGAAAGTTCTTCAGAACTTTTTACCTATCTTCCTGATATTTTTAGGCCCATTACTATCAGCCTATATGATAGGGCACTCATCATTTTTTTTATATATATATAACCGTTGCTGAATAGAAGGCCCAATTTTTTGGGTTTACGACTACTAATGTTCATCTCCGTAGCCTCGTAATTTTGCACCCAATCCAGAAGACAAGGGAACTCCAGGATCAAGTTTTGAGGAAATTTGCTTTTGTGTAGTACGTTTTGATAGAAATAACCAGCGTTTGCGTTACACGGAGAGGAAAATCACGAAAACCTCCCCTGGCTAGCCTGATGAAGGAGGAAACTCTACCCATGATCCATCTACCACTAAGGAAAGCTTTCGTCAGCACTGTGGTCCGTGCGAGCCGGGTGCAGAATTCGTATCGACCAGTCATGGCGGATTCGAATGCGATTCTTCGCATCGGGAGATGAACGCTCTATCCCCTGAGCCCCCACGGCATAATTTAAAAACTTAAAGAAATATTTTTTTTTTTCTAATGAAGGTGATGTAATCATTTAACTGTAACTTTTACGCATGATTCTTCACCTGGTTGATGTATTTTATCTCTTTCTCTCTTTCGAATTTTTCATTTCTGTAACATGATAGCAAAAAAGATTTTCTTGATTTGAGCTCATTTTCTATCCTAGTATTAAGTGCTCGTAATATGATCCGTGCTCTCGTTTTCCGCCCAGTGATAGCAGAAAAGTGCTCTTGATGTAATTCTTACTTTCATTTTCCACCCTATGATAGCAGAAAGGTGCTTTCGGTGCTGTCATTTTTTTGTCCTATTTTTTTGCAAATAAAAAGTGTTCTTCGTGTGATCCAATTTGCAAGTAATATAATCTATGCTGATTGGGAAGAAAATTATTTAAAATTGACCACATATGACACTTTTTGTATGTAGCATATTCCTTAATTTTACATGTATCCGATATACATTATAGAAATAAAATAACAGCTCCACCATTCGGAATTATGTGGGAACATAAAAGGAGTACTCATATCGCACAAATTGAAGTGAAAAATACTGATATTGAGTTCATTTCTTTTCTTCAACCAGATTAAGGAAACCGTTATGTACAGAACTATTATCAAATTAGAAAAAAAAATATTTGCATGTAATAAATATTTATTATAAAATCATAACACTTGCTTCATAAATCCGGAGAATCTCGAAATAAAATGTTCTTTGATTTAAAAATTTTATTCTCAAATGATATATACATAGATTATAACTTCATAACCTTAAAGTGACATATCATACTAGAAAATTTTATAATTTTAAGATCTCGATATTAATTTTAATATATTACTTAACTGAATTCCAGTCAAATTAATCATTGACAATTAAAAAATACTTACTAAGAAAACATTGAAAATTTATTAATAATCAACACCAATGATAGTATTTCAAGTAAGTCTGACGATTCTTTATTGTTTTCCGAGTTATATAGATTCAAAAATATAGACTATTCCAGGGCTCGAGAGGGATTTTACATTATCTGTAAGTATCAAAAGTATTCGCCAATTTTTCGAATGTCTTCGCCAAATGCGAATGTTAACAATTTTTTATGAATAATTTTTTTCCCCATCGAAAACTATTTTACGTTAGTTTGTTTCAGGCTTATATTATTTTGATCGAATTCTAATGGGTTATGCTACGCATCTGCCGAAAATTACTATAATTGGATAAGAAATACTGGATTGCTTATTATTTTGACGTAATTTTAATTTCTTTGCATTGGAAGAAATGATTCGTCAATACTTTCACCAAAACACAATTTTACTCACTAAATTTATGATTTTATCGCATTTGGCGTGATGGCGAATATTGTGTTTTTCTATTAAAGTTCTCAGTTCTGCTCATTTTTAAATCCTATTTATTCATTAGAATGAAGTAGCCAAAGGACTTTTCATATCTTTACTTTAATTTACAATGAATTGAACATCCTATATCTTAATTTAATACACATCCGTAATAGTGTACGAATACAAAAGCTCTCAGTTCACCGAAATGATGCTGGAAGTTTGTAGATAATAGGAAGGAAAAATATTCGTATTAACGAAAAATTGTTCCAGAATTTTTTTAAAATGTCTGTTCTGAAAGATTGACCGATATTCTGGATTCCTTTGTCTTCAGCTCTTTGTGAAATATCGTCTCCCGTTTGGTGATGGAAAAAACACGTCCTACATTTCCAGTTATTCTGATGGAACTGCATAATAAATTAACAAATAGTAGCCTGAAAATATCCGCCCCGCAAAGACGGCGTATTCATGCGTTGCGATCGCAAATATAAAATGCAATTAAATTTTTTCACACCAGAAAAAAATTTATTATTAAAATGTGATTAGTTATTAAAATGAATTACAGTTTGTCGATAAAAAATAAATATTAAACTTGATTTGTTTTAAAAATAGACAATTATGCATATTTTGTTACGTCGTAGCATACCAGTTTTTTTACTAATTTTTTTTTTAAATATTGTCACATAGCAACCTAGGTAATAAAAAAACTGAATGATTATCATTTCAACAATGAAAATTGTTTTGATATCCTTACAAAATTAGTAAGTTTTGCCGCTATTTACAAAAATGAACGAAAGCTCTTTATATTTTCAGGTTATTTTTTAATACTATTTCACAAATTTAATAAAATTTTAACTCATGCAGTCAGATACAACTGCAGTGAACTGTAGATAAATAAGCTTAGAACGATGGTGTTCACTATATCCAAAGTTTTTGAAGAAAAAAAAAAGAGAGATTTTTAGTTTATTGCAACAACAATGTTGGAAACAAAGAGATTTCTATAGTATATAACCTTTTCATAAATATTTAACGTAAATATATAAAGATTGATGTGTAGAGTTTCTTTGTAACAAAGTAAATATCTTTCAATGCCATCCAAATCCAGGCATAATCTGAAGGAGATAATAATTCTTTTATTTAATTTCAATTATTTTAGGAAAAATAAGGCGAAATTCCAGATATGATTCAAATATCAATGAAGCAAAAGTCTGGAATTTATAAATGTGAAATTTCTTAGAACTGTGTCACGTATGAAGTACGGCAGATTGTAAAAACAGTTTCTGCATTCATTGTTATCAATAATCACGATACTATAATTTTATATTATAACAGTCGTTGAATAGCCGACCCAATTTCATGGATTTACGACTACTATTGTTCTTGTCATTTTGAACCCAATCCAGAAGACAAGGGAACTCCCGGATCGAGTATTGGGAGAAATTTGCCTTCGTGGAAGACTTTTTGATGGAGCTAACCCGCATTTGAGCTACATGGAGAGGAAGACCACGAGAACCTCTACAGTTAGCCTAACGGCAAGTGAACTCTAACCCATGACCCGTCTACCACTGAGGACATTTCACGTCAGCACTGTGGTCGGTGCAAGCCGGATGTGGAATTCGTATCGACTGGGGTTCGAACCAGGTTCGCCTCATTGGAAGACTTACGCTCTATCACCTAAGCCATCGTGACTTAATAATCACAATATATTTAGATTTAAGGAAATCGGGAGAAATTGTCTCCACTGAAATATAGAATAGCAATTGAATTTAGGTATCTTTATTTAATAAATTGCCATAAAAATATTTATTTTAAAATTATTTTAATAACTCGTGAATTTTTAATAACGAAGGTCTACAATGCGTTTTATCGTGACTCTCAAATTTAAAATATTAAATTGCATTACAAAAACTCCTGCAAAAAGATTGCATTTTATGAAACGATATTTTAATTATTATTTTTAATTCGAAATGATTTATTTCAAAAAACATGTATTTCACATCTGCTTTAGCTGTATTTATTTTTAGGCTCTCAAAAAAAGAAGAAAAAAAACGACATTGGTCTTAAGAATCGTTTTAAGAAAATTACTTGCAATTTCTATCATATTTTTTTTTTTAATAATAATAAAGAAAATATGCCCTAAAAGGTGTCCCGCACGTGACCATGGAAAGACTGTATAATGCTGCCGTTTGTCCGAAATAATCATTCCAATTGAGCATCATTTGCTTAAAAATCTTTAACGAAATACGTCTACAACGAAGTTCTTCCTATAAGGAAAATTTTAATTGGAACATTCAATAATATTCTAAATATTACAAAGTGGTTATCTATCTATAATGAATTTTTTACCCGTATCTTCAGTTTTTATCATTTTTGAAAGTTTTTAGATACTTATCTTCTTCATTTCTACCACTTCAGAAGAAAGTCTATTTTTGGCACCATTCAAATGATTCATTCTAGAAAAACTTGACTCCTTTTAAATACCCTTTCATTCATTTCTTATTAAAAGTCATAATTTTATAACTTTGAACTTATTATATGGACAAAAAAAAATTAACATTTATTTAAATACCCGCAAAAAGTAAATTTGAGTCCTCCACATAAGAAAGACTCTCAGCTATTTACTATAAGCGTATGAAACAGCAGTTTAGACTGGACAACAAAAAACATTCATTAGAATCGAATGTTCCCTGTATCCGGTGTTCATTATAATCATGTTAAACTGGTGGTTTAGTTGCATAAAAATATTCTTAAAAGGGTTTTATTTTACTCAGCTTAGGAAGGGTTTAGAATATCATTCTGTTACACTGTTCATCAAATCTGATTTTTCAGCTATCAACAATTACGATATAGGCAGGTGATTAGGGTACAAAGGTTTTGCTCTTTTTTATTATATATAATATACTCTTTTCTTGATAATATAGAACAACTTGAGTCGTGATGGGGATAGAGCGTTCACCTTCCAATGACGTAAACCGGGTTCAAATTAGAACGATTTCTGGTCGATACGAATTCCGTATCCGGCTTGCACCGACCGCAGTGCTGACGTAAAAATATCCTCAGTGGTAGACGGATCGTGGGTTAGAGTCCCCTTGTCACCAGGCTAACCGTGGAGAGGTTTCCTCTCCATGTAACGCGAATGCGGTTTAGTTCCATCAAAAAGTCCTCCACGAAAGCAAATTTCGCCCAATAATGGATCCAGAAGTTCCTTTGTCTTCTGGATTGGGCTCAAAATGACAAGGCTACGGAGTTGAACATTTGTAGTCGTAAACCCAGAAATTGGATCTGATGCTCAACGACGGTTATGAAATAAAAATAGAAATCAACTTAGAATGGTGTTTGACTTACGAAAGGTAATCACAAATCTTTTTTTGTTGAAAATACTATAACAGAAGACATCCTCTTGCAACAAAAGAAATCTGAATAATTAAAATTTATGCATATACAACAGAGCAACATGGTTTATTCTCACGAGATACAATTACATCATTTACACTTTTATTAATTTATACATTTTATAATAAATAACGTTCTATTTAAATGTGTCATCAAATTATGCAAGATTATACATGTTTGTATAGTACAAATTATTCACTTGAAACCACGTTTAAAACCAACTATCTGACAATTTTACAAAAATTATAACTTTCAGTTCAAATAAATTTTGAATTGTTATCATTTAAAATTTCAAAGACGGAATATTGCATCAGATGTTATATTATAAAACGATTCTCCATACTTCATCTATTTTGCGTTACTGTCTGCTGAAAGCAAAATATATTCACTGCAATAGGGTATAAAATAATAAACCCTTAACCTGTATATTAGTTTAGAAAAATCCCACACTTACCAACAACTAAAACAAAATTCTTAAACTTGCAGTTTCAACAGCACTTTATAATCATAATAGAATTTGTTTAAATATTGAAATGAGTTTCGTAGAAACGTTTGTTGTAATAGTAAAACCTTTGATTAAGCGCTCTTCGTGTTTGCCTTGATCTGTCTTATTATTATTATTTATTTATTTATTGGAAATAGTGCTCAAGACGCATTAAATTTATTTTAATCTTAACTATTTTAATTACTTTAATCTCATCAGACGTTAGTGTTGAACATTCTTAAATTTATTAAATATTGAAATGAGTATAATTATATATTGAACTTAATAAATACAGAAAATGATTTCAGTACCGAAATGCGATTCTTAGTAACGTTTGTTATTGTAGCAGGATTGTTCGATTAAGCGCTTCAAGTTAGCATCAGCTTGTTTCTCTGGAAATATTGTTTCAGGTTCATCGAATGTAACTTCCGTCAAAACTTGTTGAACCTCTTCAGGAGTGAGTGAGGAATACTCTTCAATGAATGAACATAAAGTATTTACAATTCGGCGCCCATCACGACTCGTGATAGCTTTATATAACTTTGAATGGACATCGAAGAAATCTAAATCTTCCATATTCTTCTCAGAACTTACTGCAGAGAGCACTTTTTCTAACTTTTCAGTAATTTTCAGAGCTTGCACTCTTTCGTCAAAGGGCGAGGGTAAGTTTTGCAATTCTGGAGTGAATTTTTCATTTCTGTACTTTCGCATAAACAAATCCAACAGAAGTAGAGCACCATTTACATTTGCATTCAAAAAAATATTATATTTTTTAATGCCCAAATCTTCATTGGACTTGAAAGAATCACTTGAGATTTTTGCTTTCGGTTGATAATCATTTTCTTTCGAGAAATTCTGAAAATAAAAGTGTTCATTGTTTCCTACATTTTCTCTTATCGAAATAAAAGATCTTTTTTCCTTTTTCGGTAGTGGGTAAAGCTTATTATTTTTACAGCGACCCAGTTCCACTAAATAATCCCACAGATCCCACATGAATATTGTTTGAGCTATTCCACAGGCTAGTGGATCTAGATCAGCGATATAGGAGCCATTTTCCATTTGTTGGTTAAGATCACGTTCCCACGTGAGAATTTCTCTAACACTCTCCTCGTGCTTATAAAGAAGTGCGAGGTCGAGAGCCGTATAGCCTTTTGCGGTTTTTTTATAAACTTTCGCCTGACCAGGAGATATTAAATATTTGACAGCTTCCTTCACTCCACCTGCAGCTGCCAAGTGCAACGGCGTTTGCAAGTCTGCATCTGGTAGGTCTGCCTGTATCGTGTCCTTTGTTTCTTTAGAATGCAAAAGCAAGTGAATGACTTCTTCATGTTTGAAGTAAGCAGCGAAATGTAGTGGGGTCCATTCTCTGCTTGTTGCAGCCTCGTTTATACCTTTAGTATCAGTCTGAATGATGCCAGAAAGCGGTCCAGAAAATCCACTCATTGCTGCATAGTGAAGTGCTGTCATGTTATTATTGTCCTTCGCCCACAGGTCGAGGTTCTTTCTCGAAGCCAGGTTGAAAAAGTTCTTTTTAGAATTCAAAAGTACTGCTGAGTGCAAAGGTGTCAGTCCCAACTTATCTTTGGCATTGACGTCAACATTGGGATCTTTGACTAACCTATCGACGACTTTTGGATTCAACGAATTATCCGAGACGGCAATGTGCAGCGGAGTTTTTCCTCCGCTATCAGAGTCATTAGGTCTTATATCTTTACTGGACAATAAATATTCGACGCATTTCTCACACTTCCAACGCACTGCTAAGTGTAAGGGTGTCGAATTGAAGTCATCCGTTTTTGCGTTGACATCAGCATTTTGTTCGATCAGCGCTTTCACAAATTCTGCTTTATTGTTCTCTGCTGCTACATGGAGAGGCGTCAAGCCAAATGCATCCTTTTTATTCACAAGAGATTCCTCAGAATAGTCTATAATTTTTGTCAGTAAAACGACTCTACCAGCTTCAGCTGCTGCGTGCATCACGTTTCTTTTGTTCTCAAATTCTGCTTTTAGGTCCGCACCGAACCTAATAAGTTGAAACATGCGGTCAACCATTTCTTCGTCGTTGTAGGATCGTTTGAAAACCAAGTTGTACAAATCTCTGTCGACGTCTCTGAAGCTTAAGCTGTCTCCCGATACGATGCGTATCAATTCGGGAGGGTTGTTGTCGAATTTTCGGAAAACGAGTCGATTCATTTCGTCCGTATTTCTCAACTCAATCTTAGGGTTAGCAACGCTCATCACCTCCTCTGATACCCAATTGCTAACTTTAGAATATTTACCATCCTTTTCGTATTGCAAAGCGTAACTTATTTTGGAACCTTTCTTCCAGTCTAAGAAATCAGTAGTGCTACGTTGAAACACGTCATATGCGTCGAAATTGATATCGATATCATTTACCGGGGGATCTTTAATAACAGGTAAAGACATGGACGTAATGTTCTTTTTAAACTGTTGCAGCGTGTTTATTTGGCTCTGGATGGTATCGTATAATTCTACGCTGATCCACCCCACGCCGTGGTTGTCTTTCGCATAACTTAATATCTCAACGACTTTGTCAATTAAACCTTCATTACTTTTATTGATGATAACATCGAAAAATGGGAAGTAAAATAAGAGACGGTCAAGATGCTCGTTAAAATTTTCCAGGTCATTTTTTTGATAACAGTATTCTGCTACATATGTGTACTGATCAATTAGAGACAAGAAAATGGACACATAAGTCAGAGTCCCGAAAGTGAGGGCAGATAAAGCATTATAAGCATTTTGATCGTCAATACTTTCCGGCTTAGCAGTATTTCTGTTAATGATAGAAAACAGAGCCTCGTACAAGGTTCCTTGCGGTTTTATGTAACTGTAGAAAAACCCTTCGGCTATTTCCTGTTTCATTACATTCGTGTATTGCTGTTTGCTAGCCTGCAGTTTATTATTTTCACTAAATGCAATGGATGCACTCACGGTTTTAATGACTGAAATGGGATGACTGGTGTCGAGCTCTTTCATGGTTTTTATCGTGAGCAGAAAACCTTCGCTCATTTCTTTCCTCATATCTTGTATGTCAGAAAGAGTCTTGCTGACTTTGTCAGAAATATCCTTTAAAATTTCCGTTTGCTGATCTAACTTCCGATTGATGTCATGAATTTTTCTATTCATCCTTACTTCCATTTTTCTCATAGGAAGATCAGAACAATTTTTATCCACCATTGCGTCGCCCATCATACGCTTGCCGATGCCAGCTCCTATCAGAACACCTCCCAAAAGAGCGCCAACACCGGGCAAAGCTGTGGCAAGGGTTAACATCCCCACACCAAAGGCTGCTGAAGTTGCAGCATCTGCAGCATTCGAACCCTTCTGCAGTTTGTTGCACCAAGCTGATAGTCTTTCAAGTTCTGCCATTTCATCTTCCCTCTTCATACGCATCAGCGCACTCGAGTTTTGAAAATTAATTTTAATTGACATAGTTGTAGCTGTATAAAAGTCAGTTAATTCAGTCAGTTAAAGGGTATTCCCAATGGCAACTGGAAGAGACAAAAAGTTTTTTTAAAAAATACCATTAATCATTAAGGTAAATTTAGAAGAGTATACTTTAATTCAAAAAAAAATATAAACAAATTAAAACAAATAAAACAGGCGGGGGTTGCATTCCGGGCGCACACCGGAATTCCCGTTTTTTATGTATCGTTCTTCTGGGTCTAAAAACTAGAAGCAGGGCATATGAATTGTCAGCGAATTCCGGGTATCACGAGATCATTGGTTCGCGAACTTCCGCGATTCAAAATCTTATGATCCATCTCAATCTCTTATGATTCGCGATTCAAAATCTTATGATCCATGTTGAAACTTTTGTTGAATCATGTTAACATGACTTATACATACATGTGATTCATCGGCCAATTTCGATTTTTTTGGGATGGTTTTTATTTTCGTATTTACCTGATTTAGAAGTTATACATTGCGATTCGCATTTACACGATTTAAAAATTCTGCATTACAATTCCTCCTCACGTGATTTAAAAGCCAAGTATCGTGATTCGTATTCACGCCAGTTTAATATCCAATATCGAGATTCGTATTTACGAGCTTGTCATATCAAAAACGATTTTCGTATTTATACGTGATTTAAAAACTACGCATTGCTATTCATGTTCCTATGATCTAAAAATTATGCATCGCAATTCATATTTAAGCTATTTAAAAATTCAATATCGCAATTTATGTTTTCGCGTTTCAAAATCCAATATCGTGATACATATTCACGCGATTTTAAAATCCAAATAGCGATTCTTATTTTAAAAAAAAGCTTTTTTTTAAATTAGTTACTCTAAAGGTGTGGTATTCTGCATAAGTCGCTAATTTAATTACAAATAATAGTTCAAAAAATTATATTAAATATGAAACATGTCAGGTATATAAATTGATATCGAACTGTCGCGCATAAAAGCATTCTGACGATTCATTACGAAAGTGAGAAAATTGTGGTTACAATTTAGCGATCACTGATCAAATGCTTTTTTTTTTCTGGATAGACCTTTATAAACACGGTCACATTTTACGTTGTAAGTTGTAAAAGCACCATCAATTGATTCCCCTTGTCACTGAACGGGCTAAATTGGTTTTCAATTCCTACCAATATACGTTTATTAAAATGTTACAAAACACTTCTCTTACTTCAGTATTTATTTTTATCTTAAAATTTCCACCGAGATAAATAAATATGAATAAATTATTCAAAAAGAACATAACACTTGAAATTCATATTACGTAAGCACATTAAGAATACACACTGGAGAAAACAAAAACAAAAAACTCATTCTAGTAAAGAATCAATTGGGTACTTGAACTTCAAGAAGAAAAAGACCTCCTATACTCACACATGTGACCTATGACGTCAGCGCCAGCTAATCATCCAATACTATCATTAGCAAAATGGCGTATTAAAGTTGAGCTAAGTTTCTCTAAATAATTTAGAATGTTAATGAAATATAAGTTATTTAAATACAGAGCCGTATCGCACATCGAATGAGTTGAAATATATTTCTTTCTCGTCTACTTAACTCAGATTTATTATTTGTTTATGTATTTTATTATAACCGTGATATATTTTTGTTTTGCGTATCTGGCAACTTCAATGCATAATAAATTTGTTTATGTTCCACTTGGCTTCGTGTCTGCCTTTGTGTTAAATATCTGTGTAAATATAGAGTGAAAGAATTGAAATCCTTGAAAAAAAATCTTTACAAAAGAATTTAGAACGTGTTACTTAAAAGAATTGATATTTGATGGGCTTCTCTTATTCGAAATAGAATGGAGAGAAAGGTTGCAAACGTAAACAAATACCACATTTCTACTACCCATGAGGATCGAGGTACCCACACTACGTCACTTGCTGCAGGCACTCCCATTCCAAGAAGTTCCAAAATTATCATCTGCTTTTTTTTAATTGATTTTCTTGTGCTGCTGTTGTATGAATGCTTACGCAAGAAGAATCTTTTCAGTTCTTTATTTGCAATTATGGTGTTCAAAATTGATCTAGACTATGAAGGTAATCTAGTTGAAAAGAGAGCGGACATAAAAAACCTAAAACAACACCTATTTTCCAGTTGATAACCTTGTGAAACTCTTGCTGAAGAAGATTATATATTTAATTGAAAAGAACAAATAAAAGTCGCTACATTTTAGACGGAAGGCAAGAACTCAAACTAAGTTAGAGTGCAAAGTAGGGTATTCTTTTAATTGAGCACTGTACATTCTACTGTATATAAAATTTTCCATTTTTCTATTATTTCTATCTCGATTACTTATTTTTAAAAATTTCATTTTAGCGTCTTTTCCTTGTTTTCTGTAAGATTATAAAAAATCTCCACTATAAGAGGTGCTCCCGATTTTATATTTTATTTTATAACCGTTACTGAACAGCCGACCCAATTTTTTTGGGTTTATGACTACTAATGTTCAACTCCGTAGCCTTGTCATTTTGAACCCAATGCAGAAGAAGTGGAAACTCTTGGATCAGTACCCCCAGAGGTATGTTTAGTTATTGGAACATGGTGGACTTTGTGATCCGACCGATTTAACGAGCATCAGTGTGAGGATCGAACCCACGACCTCTTTGACACGGGCCCATTTCACTGCCAAGCAGGGTATCCCAATCCTTGAATAAATGTCCCACTTCGTTATTCTCGTTTTTGAGAACCGTGAGAGAAGAATGGGCTCAATATCTCCTAAGTAGCAGAAGCGCAAACTCTCCCATTATGGTACGAGTGACTGAGCAGAATTTTATATTTAAACTTTAATTTCCTTTTCCAGAAAGAAGTGTTGGTGTACAAAAAACACTGTAAGAGTCATAAATAATCAAGCTAACTTAAGCAGTAATTAAATAGTCCGACAAAAAGCAGACAACATTTTTAGTAGAGTTCACAGATTCAAGCCGATATTTTGTGACGAAGTGGAGTGAACGGGAAAATAGATGGCAATGTTACTAAAACAACAACGTGAATAAAGCTCAAATGAAAATACTGGATGGCTCAGGGGAAAGAGCCTTCCAATCAGGTGAACCGGGTTTGAATCCCAGCCATGGCTGGTTAATACGAATTACATATCAGGCTTACACTGAACACAGTGCTGACGTAAAAATATCCTCTGTGGTAGACGGGTCATGGGTTAGAGTCCCCTTGGCGTAGGCTAACCGTGGAAGGTTCTCGTGGTCTTCCTCTTCATGTAAGGCGAATGCGGGTTAGAATGCGGGTCTTCATGTAAGGCGAATGCGCAAAATGCCCTCCACGAAGGCAAATTTCTCTCAATACTCAATCCAGGAGTTCCCTTGTCTTCTGGATTGGATTCAAAGTGACAAGGCTACGCAGTTGAACATTAGTTGATGAAAAAACCTTTCGCATCTCTGATCACGTTTCCGTGTTTAAGGCTGAATTATGGGCCATTCTCCAGTCGATTCGTTGGCTTAAAGAACAAAGAATTACAGACAATATCTCAATTTATACGGATTCCCTGTCTAGCCTGCAAGCTTTGGAAAGCAGCAACTCTAAAGAGTATTTAGTCCACTTAATAAAACAAGAATTCACAAACAATATCGCTTTACATTGGATAAAAGCACATGCAGGCCATAAGGGCAACGAAGAAGCTGATAGGTTAGCCAAATTAGCCTGTGAGAGATCAACGGTCGACCTGTTTGAAGATCCTAGCAGGCGGACTGCAAGAAAAACTTTGGAACGCGAAAAATTGATTGAATGGCAGGAGAGATGGAGTGACAGCTTCACAAAGGGAAGGCACACATTCGAGCTCCTCCCGAAAGTTCAAACGAGGAAAATCATGGGGAATTTCTTTTTAAATCAATTCCTAACTAATCACGGCTGTCATGGACAACATCAAGCCAGGTTTTTTGGGGGAGCTCAGCTGTGCAGTACCTGTCAGCTTGTTGAGGATTGGGAACATATTTTAATCCAGTGTACAAATTTTAAGCACATTAGAGAGAAATTTTTTCATTCAAAAACCACCTACGAGTTTATAAAGCAGCATTGGTCAAACCCTAAAATAAAAAAGGGAATTGAGGAAATAATAAGAAAATTGTTTAGTAACAAGGCACCTCCCTGAATCCTGATGGCCTTTTGCTGCCTCTTGTTAGGAAAAATACACCTAAATCACGGCTTATTAACTTACCTGTTATGGTTTGATTATTACTTGAATTTTCTCTTAAAATTTTTTTTTTGGAGCTTTAGTCTCATGCTTTGTCAATCTCTGCCCCTATGTGATTCCTCATTTTGAAAATTTTAATCACTTGTGTTCCTAGAGTTTTTATATATGGTATATATATGTCCTTTCTGTTTAAAAAAAAATAATAATAATAATTACTGGAATTTGATAACTTTAGTACTGTTGTGCCAGCCATAATTATATTCTGAGTTACAAACATCCTTTATTTTCCATGTGAAATTGTTTCCTTTTATTAACTTTGCACCCCTACTGAAGATGCGACATCAATATCTCTTCTGATTGTTACTGTTTATTTTCTTTGTAATGTTTGTTTCCTTAGTTTATTTCTAAGTAGCACCGTTTTCTGGATTTCATATTTAATATTCCACCTATTTGTTAAAACTCTAATTTGAAAATTTTGAATATGTTTGCTCATGTAATTGAACTGTTACGCTCACTTCGAACTTTCGGAGTGCCCCCGGATGCCCCCTTACGGGGGCGGGACGGGCTTAAGCTTGTTATTAGTTGATGAAAACCCAAAAATTGGGTCGACAGTTCTACGATGGTTATAAAATATAAAAAATTGACATGCAGCAATATACATACTGTACTTCCGGTGCTATAAACAAGATACTTCCTCACTGCTTAAACAGTCAAAACACCAAAAACGATGTTTAGACACTGATAACACTGATAAAGATTCTTGTTTATAGGACCGAAACTATAGCACGTCCTTTTCTGTACTATAGTGCTTTATTCATGTCATTTTTCATTTTTTTTTTTGCTTTAGT